TCCCCTTGTTCAAGTCCCCCATCCCTTTCCTTGACCCTCCATTCCCTGCCCCAACCTCCATCCCCTGCCCTGAACCTGCTTCCCTGAGCCTCCCATTCCCTTCCCTGAGCCCCTTTCCCCAAATCCCCCATCCCCTTTCCCCAGATCCCCCATCCCCTGCCCCAAATCCCTCTCCACGATGATTTTGCTGAGCAGCTTCCTGCACCTGCGGCCCCGGCGCTGCGGCTCCTTGGCCGGGCTGGGCAGGGGGCTCGGCCCCACAGCGGGGTCCCGCAGGGCTCTGCGGGTGCTGGTGGACATGGACGGGGTGCTGGCTGACTTCGAGGGAGGCTTCCTGAAGAAATTCAGGGCCAGGTACCCCGACAAGCCCTACATTGCCCTGGAGGACCGGAGGGGCTTCTGGGTGTCGGAGCAGTACGGGCGCCTGGGACCCGAGCTGAGTGTGAGTTGTGCTTCCCCCGGCTCCACGCGTGGCTTGTCCCCCTCAGGGACCCTCTGACCCCCAGCTCGTGAGGGCAGTGCTGGGAAAGGCTGTGGGGGCCACCAAAAAGCTCCCACAGCAACACAGGAGGGCTTCCAGCAGTGGGTTTTTTCCCCCAGAAATCTGGCCCTTTTTTTGTGCATGTCTGTGTGTTGCTTAGAATCCTAGAATGGGTTGGGTTGATAAGGACCTTAAAGACCTCCTCGTTCCAACCCCCTGTTATGGGGAGGGATATCTTCCATTAGACCAGAATGATATGATGGCCTAGTGGACTTCTTTTCTGCATGCCTGGACGGTGACAGATGCAAGGAAAGGGGGTATTTCAGAATATCTGACTTGAAATACCCCAGATTGTATAGGTGGGTTTTTCTAGCTCTGATTTGGATTGGTGCCATTCCTAGATGGATTATTTAGCTCCTCAAGAGCAATGTGAGGGGTGGGATGCAGCAGAGCAGATCAGAACAAACCATGCAATTGATGCTTTATTTGAGGTCTTACTTAAAACAACCCAAGCCCTCCCATGCCAGAGATTATTATATTCATTTTAATAATTAAAGCTTAAAAGCAGAAGCTCTCTCAATATTGTAATTTAGCATTCAGCAACAGGCTGACTGCTGTTAAGAGTTGGTTTCTGCCTCTGCAAGTTTCCCATCCCAGTGGATGTCTGTGGTCTCATCCATGGATTGCAGTTGCACTGGCTGAAATGTGTTATGGTAAATAAAAGTGTGCCTGTTGTTAGGATTATGATGGTTACAGGGAAAAGAGTGAGAATAAGGTCCAGGGCTCTCCCATGGGCAAAGTCCTAAACAATTTGATGAGCTGAAGGAATAAAGTGTCCTTCCAGGCTGGGAGTGGTGAGAGGGAAGTGCAGGACATCAATTGTGCAGTAAAGCAGCTGCTCAAACCCCTGCTTGGCAGTGTTAACACACGATAACAACTTTTTTTTCTTTCTTGATCGTAACTACTTTGGATGTGTTAAATGAAGTGAACTCATCTTGTGTCTGCTGTGATAATGTAAAACCACCAAAACCTTGGGCTGAACAAGTAGAAAAACTTGCACTATCTGACCTCAGGGCAGTCCTGGTTTTCATGTGGTTCCTCCTGTAATGTACCTGTATTTTAAGTGATCTCATGGAGACAAACAGGCCAGACAGCACCTGTGCCTGAACAGCATTATGGTAGAGCAGGGCCACCAGGCCATGTCAGCTGGATCCATGTGGATCCATCCCTTTGGATGGGTTTGGTTTGGATCTGGATAATTTCTGGTGTTTGGCTTTACAGGAGGGTGCAGCTCCCTCTGTGTGTGGGGCTGCAGAGGCAAAACCAAAACCAAGCCTGCTTTTTGGGGTTTGTTTGTTTGTTTGTTTGTTTTGGTGGGGTTTTTTGTTTGGTTTTTTTTGTTTGGTTTGGGCTTTTTTTTGTTTGTTTGGTTTGGTTTTGTTTTGTTTTGTTTTGTTTTTGTTCCAGAGCATCTCCAATCTGAATTGTATGGGGTGGGGAGCAGAGGGCAGGGGGGGTGAGCAGGAGGGACTGAAGCTGGTGGTGCTCCCCCTGCTTTCTCTGTCCTAGCAAAGGGTGAGGAGGATGCACATGCAGAAAAAATTGCAATAAGTGCAGTAACCTCTTGCTTTCCCCTCACAGGAGAAAGCTATCAGCATCTGGGAATCCAAGAACTTCTTCATCGAGCTGGACCCACTCCCTGGGGCTGTGGAAGCTGTGAAACAAATGGCAAATTTGGCAGAGTGAGTATGAACCTGCGTGTGGGGATGGACAGAGGAGCAGCTGTGTCTTCACATCCACCTCTTGGCAGAAGTGCTGATACAACAACAGCATTAAAAATAAATATCTCCCAGCCATCAGAGAAGGGAGGGGAGAGAGGGCTTTGACTCCTGGAGCAGCCACCTAGAACATCAGCCATGTGCAGCCTCTTCCTTCAGTCTCTGCTCCCAGCAAAGGTCGTGAAAAGGGGAATATGATTGTGGGATTCTGTGAGATGGGGGATTAATGTCTTAAATCTGTTTGATCTGTGTGTGGTGGATGGTTGGCTTTGGGCTGCTGCCTGCTCTGGCTCAGAATGACACTCTGCCCCTGTTTTTCTCCCCGTGGCAGCACTGATGTGTTCATCTGCACGAGCCCAATCAAGAAGTACCGGTACTGCCCTTATGAGAAGGTGAGCAGGCCCAAATCTCAGCTCTCTGTCCCATCCACACTGCCCAGTGAAATGTGTCTGACCCCTGCATACCTCTGGCTGTAAAATTTACCTGTTCCATCCATTTGCATGCACTGAGGCTCTTGGTCTTAGTCTTTCATCCTGACATCAAAAGCTGCTTGGCTTTCAAATAACTTTTACTCCAGCAGCATCCAAATCCATCCCACTAATGAACTTATTAAGAGACATATCCTCCCTGTGTGGCGGCCAGGGCTGCTTCCACTCCACCAAGCACCCCCTGCCCCATCCATCAGCCTTCCCTGAGCTCACCAACCATCTCTTGCCTTCCAGTATGCCTGGGTGGAGAAACACTTTGGCCCCGAATTTCTTGAGCAGATTGTTTTGACACGAGATAAGACGGTGGTTTCTGCTGATCTGCTTATAGACGACAGACCTGATATAACAGGTAAGAGGTGAGGGTGAAACAGTGACTGGAGGCAGCCAGGCATGGATGCTTGATTTTTGTAACTTTGGGGTCTTCATGTTGAAGTCAAATCAACTTCAGTGTCTCACAGAGTTGTCCAGACCACTGACCTTCCCTCCCTTGCAGGGGCAGAGCAGAACCCCACCTGGGAGCACGTGCTCTTCACTGCCTGCCACAACAAACACCTGCAGCTGAAGCCGCCCAGCCGCCGGCTGCACTCCTGGGCTGACGACTGGAAGGCCATTCTGGACAGCAAACGCCTCCCACCTGGCCAGGCCACCTAAACACCAGCCCCCCGTGGCCACCTGGGGCTGCAGCCACCTGCCTGTGTCCCTGTGCAGTCCTGCTGAAGGCCAGGATGGACAGACAGACAGACAGACACTGTCCCTGCTGCAGAGAGGAAGAGGAAGGGGAGCTGAAGCGCCACGGTCACCTGGACTTGAAAAATAGACCCCAGCCCAGCCCTGCCACAAGGGAGCAACAGCAGGATTGTGCCTGTGGACCTGACAGCCTGGCTCCTGGGGTCTCTGTGCTGCATCTGCACCCCCACAGAGCCAGCCCAACGTTGGACAAGGTCACCCTCAGCGTGTCACTGCCCTTGCCTGGTGCACTGCGTGGCACAGACCAGCTCTGCATCCTCTCCTCCACGTTATGGTCAGGGATCGTGTGTGGTTTGTTTAATCCTTGCAAGGTTTCATCTCAAGGGGCTGCCTCAGGAGATCTTTCCCCATGGCAGTGCCTGGATCTGGGGAGAGGGGTGGCTGGAAGGGCAGGGAGAGCAGGCAGGGACTGTCCAGGCTGTCCCTGTGTTGGTGGAGAATTGTCACAAGCACATCCGTGGATGCTGTTTGCAGTGCTCATGTGCTGCAAGGGAAGACATTGGGGGATGTTGCTGTTAAAGGCTGGGCAGCTGTGCTGGTTTTAGCCAGGGCAGAATTAATTTTCTTCACAGAAAATAGAGCCCTGTACAAGCTGCTGTAAAAAAAAATTAACTCTACACTGGCCAAAACCAGCACAGGAGAGGTGCCCACGAGTTGTACCACAGGGCAGTTTGTTCTGCTGCTCCACCACAGTCCCAGCCCTGGATGTCTGGGGACAGAGCGTGCTGCCAGCCCCACTGCCTTGGCTCTGGGCCCCTGCAGAGAGGTGTTCAGTGCCTGGCTGGTGCAAAGGGGTCACAGCACACACAGCTGGACCAGCCCCCTCTGCCAGGGGACAGTGCCGGGGCTCCTGAGCTCTGGGAGCAGCCAGCACTGCTGGGAAGCTGCAGTTGGCCACCAAAAAGGGAGGGTTTAGAGCAAGGGGCAGCTCCAAGAGGAGTGTTTTTTGCATAGCTGTGCCCACATCCTCTTCCTCACTTGTTTGTCTCATTTTTGCTTCTCTGAGCCCACAGCAGTCCGGCCTTGGAACTTCAGCCACTTGTCTGGCAGGAGAAATCTGCTGCTCCTGGCCCCAGAGAGACATCCCAGCTGCTGGGAGAGCCTGGCATCCCCTCCCTGCCTGTGACACTGCCACAGGGCAGCCACAGCCCGGCTGTCCCCAGTGGGAGCTGGTGCTGGGCCACCCCAGGGATGAGCTGGGTGTGTCACTGCTGACACCACAGAGGCCATCGGGCCCTGCTGCTGTGTGTCCCCACTCTGTCCAGGATCCCACTGCCCTCCTGGCCCAAGGACTTGCTGGCTGCAGCAGTAAAATTCCCCACTTGGACACATAACCACACAGGCAGAGGTGGCAACCAGGGCTTGGCCAGGGTTTGCCATCCTGCACCCTTTTCACACCTTTGCTTTGCCTCTCTGCTCTCCTGTGGGACCCCATCAACAAAAGGACATGAACTTAAAGCTGCATAACCAACAAATAATGTAATTCAGCAGTAGCAGCCAGACCCCTCCTGTATCCAGAACCTGGAGGGTTCTGGATTTGGTGCTTTGGATCCTGTGCCTTCCCTGGGTGCTGCAGGGCCAGGGATGGGGCCTGTGTTGACTT